AAATGACATTGGTATTGTATGATTCTAAATAATTTTTGTTTAATAACGATTTTAATTTAGGCCGGGTTTTTGTGAGAATTTGACGTTGACAGGAATGTTGTGTTTACTTGCTAGTTTAGTCCAAGTGTGGATAATTCTTGAGCTGGTTTCAGGAACAAAAGGTAAATTGCAGTGTAATGTACTGTTGTTGGGTTTGTTAGTGTCAATTTTGTTCGCGAGTTGAGTTTTATTGGTAATTTATTCTTGGAAGACTGACTTCTTGAAAGTTTCTTTCTTGTTGATTATGTTCCTTGAATCTGTTGTCATCTTGTGTTCCAAATTTCATGTGACTATTACATGATCTGAAAAATTCTCTCAATTTCAGGGCATCTTCTCAGATTACAAAATGTTATGAAACAAATATTTAACTGGAGTTTTATAACTCATAACTATTTAACAATAAAGCTTGAGGGTATATCAAAATAATCAGAATCATACACAATTACTTGCACAATAAACCCATAATAGCAATTTGTTTAAATGTCTACTTTCTAAGTATCATAATCTGACAATCTGATTAAAAACAAACAATTACAACCTTGACCTTCGCTCAGTTTGACCATATAACTAAACACAAAACTAATACAATTATTAGAAGGTCTAAGCACTGGCAATATATGATCAACAAATTATTCACTAAATGTTTAATGTACAAAAACCCTTATTTAATCTCACACATTATTCAAATTCTTGTTTTTCACTAATTTTTCCCTTTTATATCTCAAAACTGTCAAATTTATTATTTATTAAACTGTCAAACCTACAATAAAGTTCTTATTGTGGAAACCATAGCAATACACACAAAGAAAAATTTCAAGATGTCGCAATAATGCTTTAATCATAGAATTTGACATACACACACACACACACACACACACACACACATATATATACATTCCAGGGAGCCCATGGGCCCAACAGCTTTTAACACATTTTTCTAAATTATTTATGAACCAAAATGTTGTGGATTCGTGACTTTGATAGTTAACGTTAAAGGATTCCCAATAATACGCAAGTCACCAAAAATACCATAAATATTGCAGTTACTATCAATAATTGTTTCTGGGGTCCTCTAGGTATTTTATATAGAACACAACAATTTCTTTTGGTAACTTCTTTATACTGAGTTACAAGAACATTAAATTATTAAATATGATACAATAAGCAGACCTCACTGGTAGTGGATAGTCAGTAATTTGAGGGCTAAAGACCACAATCATAGATAATCTGACCAAAACTCAAAACACAGAATTACAAATGACCATTAAAAATTATTTTTAATACAAAACAGCACATTTTAAACTTTTATTACAAAAAGCAGTTAACAAACTAACAGTGACATGTTATCACACAAACCTTTCAGACCAAACATGCTTTTGAAATCACACAACTCTTTAATTTCTAAAACTTATCATAAAAACAAAAATTTGAATTTATCAAAATTTTCTCATAATGTACATTTTAATTTCATGTAATTGTATTAATCTGAACTGTTAAACAAATAAAGTGCCTTAATACAAGTTACTGGTGGGATAATCCTTTATCGCAGTTGGTAGAACATATTCTAGTTATGAGCAGTACAGGTTAAAACTCTACTTGTGGCAGTCTCAAAACTGTGTGTGTATGAATATAAAAATTACCATAAAGAAAATGGTACCCACTAAGGGGCCATCCCACAACCCCAGATAAAGCTCGAGAATGGGCCTTGATGTGTGAGAAGATTAGTATTGTGATAAATGAGTTGTTAAAAAGGGTATCTTACCAGTAGTTGCTTGTGGATTAACCATTTAGCTCAGTTGATAGACATGTGAGCAGTCCTACGTTCAAAATTTGCTCACTGGAAACTCAAAAACATTAGATTATCACATAATTAGTGAATATATGTATACAATATTTTTTAAACAGTTCCTGTTATTTTATAATTTACAGTACCTATATGTCCACTATGTTTGAAACCTTGTTGCAAGTTTGTTCAGCAGACATGGTAATGTGGTATGCCATTACTGTTTTTATTGGTGTAAGTTATGGCATTAGGCCTAAAATTTTATAACAGCCTGTGCTAGACTATTTATCATAAAATATTATTGCAACTTTTAAAGCTATTTATGTGAATTAATAAAATAACTGGGAATCACAGAATTGAGGAACGTTTAAGAGTCCCTGTAAACTAAACAAATTACTATTTTTTACATACAGTCAGAGTTCAGTGAATTACAAGATATTTTTAGACTCTATTATTTACGTTTTGTAAAATTGTGAGAGTAGGCCTAGTTTAAAATTATGATTATGTTGCAGCATAATGTAACTTAGTTTAGTACCCTTAAGTGAATTATTGAGCTGGACTTACGGGCTGTTGTGTAACTAATGTATGGTATTAAAACTCTTTTTGTGTTCTATAAAACTTTCAAATTTCATTTCCTATATTTTTTAATACTGTTTCAATCCAAATAGAACCCAACAAAGCCAGTATATAATAGTATGTTTAAATACTGAAGCATTAACTAAATTACAAGTCCAACTCAGTGGTGTATAAAAGCAAATAAAATGTTTTTTTAAAAACATGATTGGTTTAACCTTTGTTTCAGAAGTATAACAGATAGCTAAGCAGATAAAGTTTGCTTGTTTATTACAAAACTACTAAAGCTACCTGTCATTGTCCATAATTTTAACCTGGCAATCACAAGAAAGGCAATTGGCACAAGCAGCACCCATCACCAAACTAATGGACTGCTATGAACCAATGAAGAGTGGGATTGACCATCAAATTATAATGCCCCCATGGCTGAAAGTACAAATAAGTTTCGGGCCAGGTTAAGCACAATAATAGAATAAGCACTTATAAAATTCTTATGGTAGTTGATAAGTCTACTGTATGTGTTACAACAAAGAGATATGTCAGAAAACTACATGTACATCATGTTAAGCCACACCTTACCTACCATAATTTACTTTCATTGCTGGCTACAAGATTAATCTGAATCTCACTTTTCCAGAGCAATTATCACTATAACTCACCTTCCCCGATTCTCTTTCATTACAGGCCATCACAACTACTTTGACCTCACACTCCCAGATCATTCGCCAGAAGTCCACTACAGTGTTTGGTAATGGTCCTTGAGATGCAATATAAGCCATAGAACCACTGGCTCCCTTTAAAATAAAAACATAAAATTTGGATCTTAGTTTCATCATTAAAGCATAAAAAAAAACCTATAATAAAATTCAGTATTATGGTTTAAGAACTTGTATGTAGCAAATTAAATTTTTTCCCAAAACAAAAAAAAAGAGGAAAATGCTGAGTACTAGAACCCATATATTTTATTTTGTAACAAAAAAAACTGTGTTTACAAAACCTCCCCAAATGTTTTGAGAACATGGTGTACACCTTTAAGGAGTAACTGAAAGATTTATAAACATCCTTTTTAAGTAAAATAAGTTTTAGCCAAAACAGTAAAGCAATAAAATAAAAATTGGATACTGAAATGTACCTGAAAAATTAGCTTCTACTTTCATGTTTTGGTATTCTACTTGAATTTTTGCCCAAAATTTTAAATGGATCTTTTCTGTTTTACATTTTGGAGGTATTAAAAGCATTAAATTTCTGAACAATATTATGAATTTAACTGAAAATATATTTTGAACTATAATTTGAGATGTTATTATTTTGTTACTAATATTAAGGTTTACAGTTTGATAAGTTCACCAAATTAGAAAAAAAATTAAGGTGAAGGAACAATTCCTGGATGAGTTGCTGTAATTCTTTAACCTGTTCTATTCATACTTAAATAACAGACCTAATCTCTTTTACTGATTTTGTTAGTTTACATTATTGTAGAAAGAACTTTTCAGGTTATGTGTAATACAAGTATTAGAATAGCTATTTATTGTTACTTAATTATGTTAATTTTGTACTTTGGTGCATTAAATGATTGTTTTTAAATCACATACAACGTAATACACGAGTTTCTTAAATCTTTGTTTTTTTGAGACATGCTGGTCCTTGTTTACACTGTGATTAGGTAAGCTCTGGATTATGACACTATCAGCCAACAAACTGATACTCATGATTGGTTCAGATCTAGATTATGACACTATCAGCCAACAAACTGATACTCATGATTGGTTAAGCTCTAGATTATGACATTATCAGACAACAAATTGATATTCATGATTGGTTAAGCTCTAGATTATGACATTATCAGCCAACAAACTGATGCTCATGATTGGTTAAGATCTAGATTATGACATTATCAGACAACAAACTGATACTCATGATTGGTTAAGATCTAGATTATGACATTATCAGACAACAAACTGATACTCATGATTGGTTAAGATCTAGATTATGACATTATCAGACAACAAACTGATACTCATGATTGGTTA